AAAACAGCTTAGCTCTGTTTGGTACAGGCTTTTGAATGGAAACCTCCAAAAAAAAAAGGAGCACATTGTTCATCGTGTGCACTGTCCTGGTGTCAGGTGTGTTGACTTATTGCATGCCCGTCCTTTTCAACTTATCTTGGATGAGATTCAGATGTAGTGGAGCTCCAGACCAGCAGATTTGAGTTTGTTTGGAATCTTCATCCACTTCTCAATGCCACACTCACACGTGTCAGATTCCTTTTCCCATTGCTCCTCCATTGTAAGCGGTCCCTTAGGCCATGGGTTTTCCTATTGTTGGACAATGCCTTGTCAGGATGACTGCATGAGGCCTGTTAGTCGCTTTCCTGTAAGTGACTTGCCCTGGGAGATTCAAAAGAAGACGAGGAACATGACTGTCAATATGCTACTAATATAAAAACTCCAAGGTTTATGAAAGAGCTAAGGTAAAAGCTCCTGAAAACTGTAACTTTGGGAGGTGCTTTGTGATATCAAAGATGTAAATGTAACGCATCAACATCTGGAAACCAGTCCCAAAGTCAGGTTTGCAGCGTGGTGTCTCACCTCTCCCTCAGTGTTCCTTCAAGCAGCTCTTTGCTCACATTCAAGCACGGAGGCATATTCATTAACACATTGGATCACGTGTAACCCTCAGTAAACTATTCACTAAATGACTCATTGAAATCAGAATATGTCCCCTCAGGGCAGCAGTCAAAGTGCAGCCAATTACTGAGCACGAGCAATAATTCAATCAAAACTTCCCCACGAACAAACTGATTATGTGACTTCATTTTTGCTAATATGAGCAAAGAGGACTAATGCATTAACAAGTGCATCCAGTACTTGATTAGGTGAAAACAACTATGAGTGTACAGATCAGAAACTAACTCTTGTGTTCTAAGGTGGGGAAGCAAAGTGTACAACAACTCGCTGGCCTGTTTGTGAAAGAATACAGTTTTATGAGAGAAAACTGGACACTCACAACACTGCGAGTGAACTTCTCCAGAGAGGTGCGCCGGCCCTGCTCCATTTCAGGCTGCAGAGTCAGAGACAAAATGGGGGAAAAAGCAAGAAAATGAAAGATAAAAGAACAACGCTATGTGATGTGCACTCGTGGTAAATATGACACAAAACAGCCGGGCTTGAGGCTTCAGGACAGTCACTTACTTTCTTCTTTGCCATCAGCAGGTCCTGGTACAGATTGGAGCGCAGGAACCGGGAATAGCTGTCACTTCTCATCAGTTTGTAAATGTGATCCTTGGTGAACAAGAAGACGGCAAGAGATGAACAGAAAGTCGCATTTTTACCAGAAGGAGGAGGAAGAGAACTGCTTTCTGTAGATTTCACAGATCTACACAAACTTGCAAAGTCAGAGAAAAACAGTCTTAAGGGGAGCAGAATGTTGAGAGGCATTGCCACTTAACTGGCAGGAAAAATCTTTTACTTATTTACCCATATAAGCCTGTTTCAGAATTTTGATGGACACCACACAAGCTCCTCACCTTCCCTAGGGTCTTCCAATGAGCCTGTTCTTCAGAAATCACAACAAACACTTTAGCAGATTCTGATAAAGCATCCAAGACAGTAAAAAGCTGTCTGACAGGGATTACTTTGGTAGATATAGATTTAAAGGGTAATATCCACAACAGATGGTATATAGCGGAGGCGCCCCAGAGAGAGTTTGATCACTTTGAGCATTCTTATAGCTGTCTGAAGAATGCTCAAGCACAGAATTATGGAGAAGTGATCAACAATTATCCAAGCATAATCCTGAGCCAAAACTAAATATCTGTCACATGCATAGTCTGCTAAACCTTGAATTAGGACTTCCATTCTTTGCTTTGGCACAGAATGGTCAGCAAGCTTCAAATAAAAAGGCAGCCATTTGCCTTCAGCTCATGCCGAGCTGCATCAGTCTCCTTTTCTCATCCCCAAAATGTCTTTTTTTTTTAAAGGGTCTTTTACCTTTTATTCACTTTTTTACATAACTGTTGTAAAATCCTAACCACTTTAGGGGTCCTTCACACAGGGGCACTCTCTCTTGGGATTCTCAGGCTTGGACAGAGTGGATTGTTCATTTCATTTTTGATGTTGCTATTGAGTTTGTTTTGGTTCAAAGGGTCATTAAGAAGGAAC